CATTTGTAGCATTGCCTTCTAGACTTGTGGTCAGCCTTGGCTCAAAATAATCAATTCCATTCCTAATGTTGTCGGGCTAGTCTGGCATTTGCTATGATTTCTCAGTCATCCAGACTATTGGTTGTTTTATCTCATTATCTAAATGTTACTAAGTGAAGTTATTTGCCCAATTTTTATGTCTAGATTTAAATATCATGATATGAATAAATAATCTAATTTTAAATGCTCAATAGGTACTATATATCAACTTTTCCAAAAACTCATTCAGTTGAAAAAATTTTAATAACTCATTATTTAACTCAATGAAAAGTTTCAAGGTTTTGTTATTATTTTATTAAGTTTGTTATTTATTAAAATGAACAAAAACATTTCCTGGGCCTGTTCCTTCTAACACATCACAGATGATTTTGCCAGATTCTCATTTGAACCATATATTCATGATGAAGTCAAGGTACACTGTGGCACTATAATTTGTTATTATCAGAAGTGACTTAAGTCCCTCAAGTGCCAGGTACAGATGAACTTGATTAAATAATCATTCGGTTAAATCAAGCATTTGGGTGATTAGTAAATTTGATGATTTCAATTATAGCAGCTCTCTAGTCAAGGATAGAAAAGTGTAGAGAACAAAACTAATCATCTTTTGAAATTATTAACGAAGGCTCTCTTGTGCGTTCTGGATGCTAAATCACCAAAACACTGAAAAGGTGTACTATCCTTTAACTCAACCCACCCCATAGGAATGTTATCAATCAAGCAGAAAGAGAACAGTAACTCACTTGAAAAAATACAAGCAATTTCTTACCTTTGTTTCCCTTATCTGTATTTTTCAGGCATTTGGCATTGAATGTTGACTATTTTGTGCAAAGGGAAATGTTACTTTAAAAATAAAGAAATTTAAGGTAGCACAATGTGTTTTAATATTAACCAGCTTTGTTATATATGATCAAAAACAAAACACTCTCTGGTTCATAAGATTCCATCAACGACTAACCTGCTCGGTATGGCCATGATTGAGGTTATCTTTTTTACTGGACAACACAAGTTGTACAACACTGATCTTGCTTCTCGGGCAGGGATGAATAGTTCATTTGCCTGACGATCTCAGCAAAAAGGTCATCCACCATTGATTTACTTTTTGCCGATGTCTCCATGAAAGGACAGCCCCATTCTTGAGCCAGAGCTCTGCCTTCTGAAGACATAACCTCTCTTTCTGGTTCCAGATCCACTTTATTTCCTACTAGGATTAGTGGGACTTTTTCATATCTCTTCACTCTGACAATCTGATCTCTCATTGGCTTGATATCCTATTCAAACAATCAAAAAGAAAGAAAGAAAATTATGCTGTTTGCATAACCATAACAGAAGTATTGCAATCTCATAAGAGCTCACACCTCGGTGAGTAAAGAAAGCTGAATCCAAAATAAAACCACACACCCAAATAGAGAAAATGTCATTTTCTCCATTAAAGTTGGCACTATATTATTTCCACAGACTCTACCTGCTGGATTTCTGTCAAGAATATAAAATGTAGGTTGCACACTAACTTTAGGATTCATTTAATCACTTCTTTCCCACAGTCTATACTGATTTAAAGAGTAAGTTCCCAAATATGATGAATCTATTCATATATAAAGGTGTTTGCCCATCTCCTTAAACCTGCGAGCTTGTCATCACTCCTCCTAACACTTGATATCCTAGCAAAGGATTGTAGCATCTATGCATTCCTAGCCATTTAGTAAGAGCACTTGAGAGAAAAGTGTTTAAGGTGGAAACAAAAACAGTGTCATGCCTAGAACAAAGTTAAAAATAGATTCCTGCACTTATATGTTTCATTTTAAATTTAATGGTATATTTTTATCTCAGTAAAATTAAATACCTTAAAATATGTTAAATATAGTGGAAACTATTGTAATAATGAGCAGCTCCTGGGATGGACAGGCAGGTGAGAATCTGGGTGGGTAAAAGTCATACTTTTCTTTGCCTACATTTGGGTTTACAACTTGAATTTTACCCCAGGTGTATTATTTTTTGTAAGTAGTTACAACTAATCACGAAAGATAAGAGCCTTAGCAATTCTCCAGTAGCATCAACTTGGGGGGAGGAGGTACTGATTAAAGACAATATCATAGATTTTATACTAACATTATACTTTTTTGATTTTTCATAACTTAAAAGTTTTAACTTAAATATAAATATGCGATTAATTTAGTTACAGTAAACAGACTATTCATAGGTAGGATGAAGAAAAAAGAGGGGGCTGTGAAAATTTACAAAAAACATAGTTATGTGATATTTGCAACAATTTTATATGCTCATGTATCAATTCAATGGTTAAGATTCTTTTTCTCTGCCTCTTCATGGAAACCCAAGTTCAGCTGAGAATCCAAACTTACGGCATTTAAGTTTAAAAGAGTTTAAGGCTCTGTTGAAATAATTGCAGAATTTTCACTCCGTATTTATGGCTATAACAGAAGTAGATGTAATTGAAATCCTATGAAAAACCCTTCAAAAAACTTCCAGCCTCAAGAGAGTCAGCTAATAGAATAACAAATTTCCCAAGATCCTTCAGAAAGAAAATGCCTGCCAAATAGCACCTTTACTACTTTTGGGGGGAAAATGCTGTTATGATATTCTTGCTTTGGAATTTAAGCCTACATAAGATGGACTTGAGTTTGATCAATATAACTTTTATTCATTCGCCCGGAATTATTATCTTTAAAAGAAAAAAATCCTGCAGTGCTATATCTGGTTACTGAAAAAGTTCACTATAGTACTTTAAAATACTAAGAAAAGTGGAATTAGCACATTGCCTTGACTTAAAGTACTTAATGTCTCTTAAGTAAGCAGCATTAACTGAATACCTTTAAATGTAGAAAAATATCCATTTCCTAAATCAATGGAGGTCAATATAATGGGTCAATATGAGGTATTTTCAAGGAATAAATAGCAACATTTATTGCATCTCTTAAAATAATGTTAAACCTTCAGCCTGTCTCTTAATGGAGGACAGGACAGATTTTCCGAGGAAACTGGACCATCTCCAGTTTGGCCACCCAGCCAGGATTATAAATCTGCATTTGTTCAATGTTCCCAGATCCCCGTACTTTTGATAGTCAGTGTTATCAGAAACAATTTGGATAACTGGAGAAAAGGAGGGGCATTCTACATTTTTAATTAGTAACTTTTCCTTCACATGCACCGAGTAAGTAAAATGCCTAGAAGGCAGTTCTCAAGTTCGTCTTGCAGCACTAAGATTTATGAATCTGGTTGAGAAACTTGGGTGAGCACAGAGAAGGGGTGGGGGAAAGCAACCACAAAGCAATTATATATGCAACAGATATTAGGCTCCAAATAATTTTCCTTCCATAATGTTGTATTTACCCGAGATTATTTGTCAATGTTTTGTTGAGTATATTAATCAATACTTGTTGAATTGAACAAGCAACTTCAGAAAGTTATATTCCAAACTAAATATATACGGCATGACCTATTTCTTTTTCACTTTTCGTTGGCTTAAAAAAAAGTTTAAAATATTTGTTGACAGTTGTTATTTTACTACTCTCTATAGAAACAACCCAATACTTTTTCATGCCAGGGGTAACCTCAAAGAATGCGCCATGTCTAACTTTCAAAAGCAAAACATAGTCATTAACGCACGGCTCAAGCAAACCAGAAGTAAAAGTAGGATTACCACACCCCCTTTTAACAAATTACAAGACTTGGTTTGGTTACCTGAAAAGACTGTTGATTAACGAGACTATAAACCAGGATGAAACCTTGACCGTTTTTGATGTAGAGATCTCTCATGGAGGCAAACTGCTCAGTTCCTGCGGTGTCCAGAATTTCCAGCACGGACGGGGAAGAGTCCACTTCGATCTCTTTGCGGTAGAAATCTTCAATGGTGGGGTCATATTTCTCAATGAAAGTCCCAGTGACAAACTGCACAGTCAGGGCAGATTTGCCAACCCCTCCGCTCCCTAACACCACCACCTTGTATTCCCTCATGAGTCTCCCCTTCACCCACTCCTGCACGAGGGAGGAAAAATAACGCCCCGCTAGCTGCGGTGCGGCTGGGGAGGCGGAAGGTGGGCGGAAATCTGCGAACTGGGGAGGAGAGTGCAGAGAAGCGGAGGGCCCGACGGGGAAAGAAGAGGAAGTTAAAGGCGGGGGGAGGG